GGAATAGTATAAAACTTTTTATGGTTTATTAAAGCATTTGTACGGAATATAAAATAATATTAAAAGTATTAAAATTAATTTTTTTTAATGTTTTTATTGCGACGCAAATGTGGCATATTTAAAAAGAGATGTCTCGGTAGCGCAGGTGATTTGACCTCGTAGACTTATCTGAAACAAAAAAATTCGAATGGATTCTTAATTAGTACGAGTACAGTGTTGATCCATAATAAGCAACTGCAGACTGGCTCGTAATAAGCAACTTGCTATTCCCTCTTCTTTATTTGAAGTCGGCCGCCGAGTGAGAGATCCGAGAACGAGTGAGAGGTCTGTGAAAGCGAGAAGCCATAAAGTTTTACGATCGAATGAATAGTGACATCGTTTAGTAGAAGAACAATAGAATACTTTCTCATTCTAGTACTTACATATTAGCGAGCCTCTTGCTCGCTCTCCATGTTCTCTTGTTCTGTCCAAGAACAAAATCAAGCCGAATAGCATACTGACCCGTAATAAGCAATTAACTGGTCCCGAGCTAGTTGCTTATTGCGGATCAAAACTGTATCTAGTGCGAAACTAGAAAAAAGAATTTCTGTTGAAAATTAACAAAATGGCACGTGTAAGTATTGAAATTTTATTCTTTTTCGACAATTCTGCAATGTGAAAAGTATGATAAACTCAACATAATAAACGTAATTGACGAATAATCTGTTAAAATTTTTAGAGCGATTGGTTGGCTACTTTCTTAAATTTTGACCTGTGCCAGGTGAAAAATTAACGTTTCGAGAAAAACGCGCTTAAAAATTTAAGAACAGAATTTTTATAAGAAACACATTCTTACAATTAATCAGCGATCCCAGGTTCATATAGGATACCTTCAGCTTTCTCGTAGTGTTTTCTGATTCTGATCTGGTATTCCTACGAGCTGTCCTGGCTTCTTTGGATGCATTGGAACTGCGGCGCGACGGTTGTTTCTGGCTTCTTGCTTCTTATTTCACCCATAACGACCATTATTTTTAAGATAGGCTCTTAAGATAGGATAAATGGCAATTTCTAATATGTACTTCTTTTGTCACCAAAGATGTGTTTTAAAGCAAGATGCCACACGCACAAGTTAAAGCTTTCATTATTATTTTAAATATTAGAGCCGAAGAATCTTTCCAGTAAATCATCTGATATTAACTCCTTATAAATAGATTTAAAAATCATTTGGACTTCGTCGTCGAGAGGGGGTGGATGGTGATATTTGTCTAATGAAATTGCAGCCTCATTCTTACGCCATTTGCACCAAGATTCAGCCTCGAATGGACAATGTGAATATTGGGGTTTCTCGTTGCATTTATTTGACATATTTTTCGATATGATAGAAAATAAAAAAGTTTCACAACAACGGTAGTGGAAGATTTTTTATTTAAAAGAAGAATTTTTATTAATTTAATAGCACAGTCTTATAAGGCATAAAAAGCCATTTAATTTTTATTATAAACATTTTTTTATATCTACTATAATTTTAAAGATATACAGGGAAATAAGGTAACACTTATCTTCATTCAAGGGCTGTTTTCACGCCGAAGAATCGAAATTGGGCCCAAAAAAAATTGCCCCATACTTCTCTCGAGGTCCCCTACAAACCCACAAAGTTTTCGAGTTTCCGAAGTTCCCTTGTTAATTACAATTAATATATCTATTAATCAAGCATTTAATTATTTAAATAACAATATATACTTGTCTTTTATCTTATTCTGAATAAATTGTTTACATTAAAAATAATGTTTACTCGAATCAAATATTCGTTGTATATTAAATTTAATCTGGATGAACATACTTTTGGATTATATAATACGGAGTCTGCGTAGTTTGAGATACTATCGCAAATGGCGCTGTTACACTTATTGTTCTATAATGGCGGCTACAGTTTATCGTGTGTTTTATAACCAGTTTGCCTAAAAAAGATTTCTTGCGTACTTTGTTCTTTATTTTCATCTATAGTTTTCTGTATGAACGTAACCAGCGGTAGTGATGTCCTCGTACACATTTTCACAGAAGCCGTTTACACCTGTACCCCCTGAGAAGGGCAGTTTTCCACTCGACCATGAGGGTGCCTGCAAGCTGCTCATGATCAAGTATATGCGTTGTTTGTTCACCAATAAAAATGAAAGCGCAATGTGTCGAAACATCGCAAAGGATTACCTTGCTTGTCGGATGGATAATGAGCTAATGGCTCGAGAAGAATGGTCCAATCTTGGTTTCGTTGATGAGGTCAAGGAGACATAACAGCAACGATTTATTACTAATCGATTATCGCGACGTTGTAGATCGCCGCTTTTATCACTTGCCTAGTATTTACGAACTTTTTTGCTGGTTATTCTTTGTTCATCTTGAATAAAAATTCGACGAGTTTTAGAGTGCATATCCAAATTTGCAACTGACACATAATTTATGTATGTGTTTCACAAATTATAAGTAATATATATGTATACATTTCTTCAAAATGATTGCTGAACAATGACTCAACATTATTAACAGTGTACTGTCTTCAATATGCAGATAAATTAAAGTGTTTTTGGTGCAGTGGAAAGACTTAAAAGCAAATTATTAAGCATTTAAAACAACTTGTTAGTGACAATAGTATATTTAATATAGAGATTTAAGGAGAAAAGAAATCATTGTGAAATATTGATCTTTGTTAATTGTAGTCTCCATTAATTGAAGTAATCAAGGCATCTTACTTTAGATGGCCTAAAACATATTAACATACCTCTTGTTGTCCTTGAGTAAGTCAAGTCTGTTCCATATCAGCAGCTGATAGTATTGATAGAACAGAATTACATTTTATAAACCAAAAAATAGTAAATAACAAATTATTAGGAAGAAAGTGAGAAAATTTGTCAAAAATGGCATGTACCTCTAGGAAGAAGATTTTAATTGGTTGTACTGGTAGTGTAGCCACAATTAAATTACCACAATTAGTACAGAAATTATGTCAGAACAATTTGGAAGTAAGAGTAGTGGTTACTGAAAAAGCTAAGCATTTCTTAAAAGAGGCAGAATTACCTACAAGAATTCAAGTATTGTCTGACACAGTAGAGTGGGCTGCCTGGCAAGATAGAGGCGATCCTGTGTTGCATATTGACTTAGTTAAGTGGGCTGATTTATTTTTAATTGCTCCATTAGATGCTAACACCCTTGGCAAGATAGCCAGTGGTATATGCGATAATATATTGACCTGTGTCGCACGTGCCTGGGATCCTTCAAAACCTTTGATCTTCTGTCCTGCTATGAATACAAAAATGTGGGAACATCCAGTTACTGCACCACAGGTATGAGTTATGATATTTAAATGATACAGTATACGCATTCTTTTATTTTATTTTCTCTGCTTTGCAACAACCAGTTTGGATTAATAAACCTTGTATTTAATATCCTATGGTTCCTGATTGTAGAAGTAATTGATATAATTTTCAAATGAATTGTTACAGAATGAAATTTTTCAATTTTAATTAAATCAAACAGATTAAATTATTGAAACTTCTTTTAACTTTCAACTGGTGACACAATGCCAAAATAATTCTACATGTTGAAGGTAACTGTGAATACACTCTCTACTTCTGACCAAATATTATGTGCTACATAGTAGTTATTCATAATTCAGTACCCAACCGATTGCTGTGGAGAAAGAGCACATATTGTTTTTTTATTGCTGCTCTCTCCCATATGTGATGTCAAATTGATGTGTGGTCACCACTTATTTGGGTAGTTTCATCTTCTCTAAATTTTCATATATATATTGATATTTGATTTTTTTTATTACTATTTGTGATTTATTTTTTCTTTTCATGTCAAGATTCCTCGGTTGACGAAATAGTTTGTTAAAACTTTGAAGGTGAAAGTGAGCTGTTTGATACTGATGATCAGAATCTGGACGAAAATTTGTACATTGACAGCAATCATGATTTAAAATCAGAAATACAGAATATAGGTAGTGATGATAAGAATGTAGATGAAGAATATTCTGAAATTGCGAAAATTTTTTCATCAGTAAAAATTTAAGTGGTCAAAAGTAGAACCTAGAAGAAATGTCCAAACTGCAAATACTTAATATAACTGTAAATGTTTTTCCTTTATTCTTTTTCTTCTGTATTCTAC